TACTTGTGTTAACCTTGAATTCCAGCATGTCAGTTCCGGTCCTCTGAGAAAAATTAGGGAAGTGCTTATTGAAACCAGCATCCCAGCACTCCACACTGTGCTGGGTGGAAGAGGGAAGTGGGACCCCAAACCACAAGAGCTTTAGGAGTAGCATATACTAGCCACACTTTAGTCACGTGAGATTATACCACTATTCTCACTTTAGACTAATCTATCCTTAGAAATGGCCCAACTTCATGCTTAAGTCCTGCAGTTGCTTCAGGAGTTCCTGAGCTTTCTGGCTGAGCCACACACAGTTCCCTGATACCTGTGCACTGTCAGTGGACACAGAAGATACAGTGAAGATACAGAAAGAATTATAGACTGCATGTTTAATGAGGACAAGGGAGGAAGATGTGTTTTCTGCAGCTGTAGTCTAATGTGCTGAGAGAAATCTGTTTGAATGAGTTGGGAATGCTGATGGCATCTAATAGCCACAAAGGCTTTTCCTGCTTCCTGATAGATATAGCACTGTGAATATCAGTCATTGTGGTATGAAGTTGTTACAAGAAAAATAACTTCCTGTGTTGATGGACTTAGCATGCAGTAAATGGAGACGTATGGATGCAAATGTAAGGTGGTAAATGCAGCCTCCAGAGCTCTATGTGTAACCATGCAGAGTCATAAGTAAAAAGTACAGTGTATTGCTTGTCTTTGACTTCCTCTCTAGCTCAGCTGGTGCCCTGAATTCAGTGTTATTATGGTTCTTTTTTTCCAGGACAGAACTGAGAAATAACAGGGTGCTGTGACACACAGTGCCACTGCATATGCAAGGCAAGATTTCTCATCCTAGCCTCTGTGGGGAGAAAGAGCAAGAGCATTCTCTGTAACAGGACACAAATAAATCTGTGAATACTATCCAAGTAGTATCAATAGCCACAGAACTGAAACATTTTCCCTTTCTTCACATCCTTTTCTAGAAGAAATGCACAGTTAGTTCCAAACTCTCCCTTTACTATGCCTGCACACTTTTATTGATACATGCACTTTCACTGGCTGGAACTTTGCTCATTTCACTAGAAGACTCCTTGTTTTCAGTGGGTTCCAGAACAACCTTCCTTCCTTTGTTTTGCTTTCAGAAAAGGTCTGTATTGCTTGTGCCTGTGTGACTGCTTGGAGTGCTGAGACAGGTGGCAAGTGGGTCAGAGAGATGGGGAGTATGGAAAGTGCCAATTGTCCACCCAAAGTCCCATGACAAGAGTTGTCCATGCCACTTGTTAAATAGAAATGATAACCTGCTTAATATATACCTGATATTCCAGACTTTCAGCAACAGTGCTCCTTCCTAAGAATGCAATTTCCTTCCTATTATTAAGTTTTATTCTCTTTTATCCCATCTACTCTAGTCAAGTTACTTCATTGTGATTGCCTCTCAAGTGTTGATTAAATCAACAGTATTATTCTGTGACACTGAGGTGTGACCATTACTTGCCATACAATGAAATAGCTTAGCAGTATTAACTGAGTAGTTACTTTACCTAAATAGGCACCATTTCAAAAAGGAATGCAGTTCCTGGCAATGAAAGTAACCTGGAATAAAGGCATTGCTTGAGGGAGAGCTGTATAGTACCTGACCATGTGAATTCAGTCTGTCCTTGTCCCACTTTAGCATTTTGATATCAAAGTTAAGTAGACTATCACTCCATAAAAGCTCTGAGTGATAATTTCATAATCTCAGTGAAGCATCTAATAGAGAAATAAAAAGGATCATGATTTTTTAAAACATTATCCAAAAATTAAGCTGTGATGCAGCAGATTGCAAGGGTGCCTCACTGTTTTTGATGACTTCAGACCTGCCCCAATAGCTAAACTTTATGACCATAAGGGTGAGGATGAACTTTGACTACGACCTAGATCTGCAATTTACAAGTGTTTTCATACAGCTGCAATAATATTCCAGAAAATGTGATTGGCCTTTTACTTCATTCATTTTTGCAAATGAAAATAAAGCTACTGTGAGAGCAGATCTTTTGCTAAGAAAATATTTTTTTTTAATATTTTTATAGCTCTGTCAACAATAAAGGAGTCTCGCAGTCTAAAGTCTTTCTCTAAACCTTTTTAATGGAAAAAACTTCATAGAAAATATCCTTTTACTTTTTTAATAACATATAACTATATACATGATTAAAAACTGTAACAAAAAGCTGCAGGGACTGGAAAAATGTTTTGTTGGATCCATGCAGATGGTACATCTAAAAAAGGATTTCACAAATCCATGTACATCAAATGGAACTGTAGTGACAGGGTTGAAAAAAAATGGCAACTCTATATTATTTACCTGAATGTATTGGGAATAAAGCACAGACATACAAAATACATGAAAAGAATACAAAAGAGTACATGGTGTAAATGCTGTAAGCACAGAAAGGTTCTTTTTTAATAGAGAAAATAGGAGAAAAGAAGTAAAATCTCCTTTTTCACATTTTATATTGCAGTTTAAAAGATAACTAATCTCTTACTTGCTTTATTTTGTTTTTCTTCACTATGACATACACTACAGTAGAAGTATATGGCATTTGAATTTAACAGCTCAGGAATACTTTGATTTATCTCCATGTCTGTGAATGTTCTATCAGTTCTGATTAATGACCTGTAGACATGTTGCTTAAAACCACATACACAGTTTGACATGAGTTACAAAATATTGAGGGCTACCACACTACAAAGTGCTGGAGATTCTTGTCCTGATCCAGCAGTATGTTGAAGGACACATACAACTTCAAATCTAAGAGGAATTCCTCAGAGACTAAAGGAAGTTAAAAACATGCATAAGTTAGTTTCTGATCAGGGCTGGAGTTTTGAACAGTTCATAGCATAGACTCTGCAGCTAGGAAAACTTACACCTGAGGCTGTAATTCCGTCCTTACACCCCAGATCATGTAGCCACACTGTGTGGATGATTTACTGTACTTCTAAAATAGATTTTCTTAATTCTAAGTTAAAACATAAATGGAACCTCTTTTAAAAAATCTGGGGAATTGATGAGCTCTGCAGCTGAAAAAAGAAAGAGATAGTGTTTAGTTTGTCAGTGAAAGATTTGAAGAGATTCTGTAGGCAGCAGGTAATAATGTGACAGGCTGTAAACACCTCAATTCTGAAAGAACTTGCTCATATTTTTGTCCTGGATCAAAAAAAAAAAACCCCTAATTAATTGAAAGCTCAGTAGCAGCCAGTAACATCACCTGAGGTGCACAAGCATGGTGAGGATGGCAAGACATCATTTAGTAAAAGCTGTAACAAGTACTTAATGATTCCCAGTGTAATTACAGGCAGTTTAATAGCAGACAAATAAATGGAGCCTGTGTGTGTATATATTTGTTTAAAAAATAAAAAAGGTGAAAGCAACAACAGTAACAACAACAACAAAACTAGACAAGCAGTGAAAGCTAAAATATTCTGTGAAGCCTTGGAATCTGTTCCTGTTCTCGTTAACACCCACCTACCCTGTCTGGCCTTGCTCTTTTGGCAGGCAGGTAAATCCCTTCAAGTTCCTGTAAGTGAAGGAGGACGTTTTGCTTATAGCAAGACATAAAGTAATTATGAAAATAAGCTTTGAAATCCAAATTGCTGTGAGCCATGAAAGCCAAATCTCACTGATAAGTATTTGGCTTTCATTGGCCATGCAGCAGATTGATTCCCTCCCCAGTCTGACCTCTTTCTGTGCTAATTGGAAAGTTGCCACCATACCAGGTTTGAGGCCATTACCATTCAGAGTCTTTTATTTTTTAGAAATATCAATGACACTTGTTCTTGTTGTTCATTGCTAGTGTTTTGGGAATAATCTGGCTTGTAGAGCCCTGATTGAAACTACAATGTCAGCACAAGGCAGGTCTGTTGGAGAAGGCAACCTGAAAGCAGTAAGACTTATTTTGTTTATTTAAGGAAGAGATAAATGTGTGTGTGCATGCATTTGCATTTAGCAGTTTTATAGCTGGAACCATTATTAAATGATGCACAGTAGCAATTTTATCTCATTATGATTTGTTTTATAAAGATGTAATGATTCTCAGGAGAGTTTCAGGATAACATGCAAAGTTGGTTTGCATTATGTACGCAGTTATGTGCCCAGTATATATGTTGCAACTTAATTTCTTAAATATATATTGTGTAACACTTTTTATTCCTGAGTGCTGGTCTCCATAAGGAATAGAGAAGGTGTCATCACGTGCTCTTCTGCACAACATGGTCCTCTGTAATTTTAGGAGTTCTTCTGGGGGATCTTTATTGTCACAGTTTTAACTTCAGAATATTCTCTCAATCCACATTCACCCCTAAAGAACAAATTACATCATCAGTTTATACCAGGTATTGTTTATCGAGAAAAAAAATCTGCAAAGTGATTTCTTGATAAAGATAAGATATAACCCCAAATTGCAGTTCAGTTTAGATCAGAAAAATGGATGACATCAGAATTTGGTAAGGAGATACATAACAGTAAACCCAGAAATACTCACTGTCTGCTGATAGAGCTTTTAGAAGTGAATTGATGTCCTTTGTCCTTCTTAAACCTTGAAAATATCCAAGCACTAAGACCTACCCCACTGGCCAGTGAAATTACTGTTTATATTGCACTCAAGAAAGGGAAGGTCCACACTAAGCATAATGAAAAATTAACAACTTAAAACCATGGATAAGATGAACTTGACTCCTAAACCACTGATCTTTTCTCCCTAGCAACACATCCAGCAGTGGAAATCACCATTTGCACATAATGTGGTAGAGGGTTCAGCTTGCTCAGATTCCCTTCTACAATTCCCTATCAAATTCCTCCTTTTGTCCTGGCACAGGCCATTACATAAGAATCTCCATACTGCTGGACACCAGGAACCTACTAGGTCCCAGTCATCTGACACATGGCTCTGAGGGGGACACATTCTGCTTTGGGTAGATTATGCTTAAAAAATTGGTGTTTCTGAATGCTGTTAACATTTTGCTTTAGTCAGCTGCAGCCTGGCTCATCTCTTTGGTCCCTCTGCTGAGGTTTAGAGTGGATGTTGCCTGGCATCATGGGACTTGTGCTTGTCTTCTCTGCAGTTACAGGTATTTCTATTTTCCTGTGCCTATTTTGAGTAATGGAGAAGTCTCTTTAGGTGATTAGTGGAGTTATGTCTTCCATATGCTGTGTCTGTAAAGCAAACACTGTCCCCACCTCCAAACAGGTACAGTCCAAGTCTGGAAGTAGAATATCTTTTCCATATTAACTCAACGAGGATTTTTTCGCAACAGTTCTTACAGACTTTTGTTTCTTGGTTGATTTTTTTATCCTTACACCTAAGACACACACAGTATTGCTCTATTACTTATATTAAAATGTAGAACATGCTGGCATGGATATTATGTTAGCATGTTTACTATTTGACACTGCCTTCCCTCTGAATTCTCCTGTGCTGGACTTAATGCCAACTGAACCATAAAGAATATTTCAGAGGAATTTCTCAGAACCTCCTTCTAGTAAGTGTTTCAGAACGGAGTGAGTGGCCACTATTTAAGGTAATTAAATCCCTCTTCAGGCCCCCAGTGTTGCGTAGACCATTTTGTATTTACTTCCACACTACAGATTTTACAGAAAATACAGCATTGGGGTGAAACTCCTGTAACTTTCCTTGGAAAGTTAATACAATTGAGCAGAAATGTCAGCATTTACCTTCTGGGATTGCAGTTTGGTATCAGAGTGAGAACAAAGGTTGTGTCTGTGAAGAGGAAGGAGCCCATGGGTCAAATCTGCATGGTGCTGTCCCTTGATTGTGTGGGTGTGAGGGAAGGGGAACAAAATCCTTTTTAAGAAGAAGTATTATATATTCTCTTCCCTCCCTCAGTCCAGGAGGAAAAAAGAGAATTACGACTCCAAGCCGTTCTCCTGCTTGCACTTGTTTTTCAGAATGCAGGTGTACAGTGCTGTATCTCAGAGCTATCCAAACAATAACAATTCCTATGGCATTAAAGGAGAGTTCTGAAGTAGAATGGCACTTCCTTCCCTTCAAGACATTTGGACAGAGGCCAGAATTTTGGGAAGCTCTAATATAAAATAGCCACATGTGGCTATCTGGGGAGAACCACCCAAATTTTTAGTTACAGCAGTTAAATTTTACATCTCCCAGGCAGGAAGCTTCAAAGAAACATGAATGAAAAAAACGCCAAACCCCTGTCTTCTAGACCTCTTCAGGGATACAAGAATATTGTAAGTAATGCAATCAGAAATCACCTGTTTTGTGTACTCTACCAGGATGCACATACCCTGCTACCTTTTGTGGGAGTGTAAAATGAGCATAACAGTTCTCAACTTTGTGTTGCTTTTTTGCCCATGTGTGATGATAACCTGCGAATTTAAACGCAGGGCCAGAACAAGTCCCAGATAATGCAGTGTTGGCACAGGCAGCACAGTGGCCCAGTTATGACCTGGCTGTAACACAGTGCTACCTTAGCAATGACACACTTACGTATAGACACTTTTTTTTTCTGTAATTGCCCAACTCAACATTATTTATGCTGTAAAATGTATGCCTTAAAAACAAGAATGTAGGAAACTGGCATTTTAATAAAAAGTATGCAAGTATTAATGCAGGGTGGAGGAGGTGAATTAGAAGGTGATATCTGATCAAAGAAGTTCTGAAAGGAGTAGAAAAATTACTCATAGGTAGGTTTTCAGGCATCTTTTTGAGATGGAGATTATTGCCATTCCAAACATTTATTGTTTATGATGAATACTTTCAAAGCTGTAGTGAGAATCAAGTGTGCAATTATGTGCAATTACCACAGATTTTCCATGAGAGCTGGGGTGCTGCCTGCGTTTCCCCCCTTTTAAGAGCTCTGCATATATGTGAATATTTTGCTTGCTGTTGAACCTCCCTGGAGTCAGTGGGGTCACCCCTGGGTGTCAAGTTACCCATGTGCTCTATCGAGCTTAGTAGTTTTAGAATATTTTCACAATGATAAGAGTTAGATGACCTGACATATTTATGCCAGTGTGAGATCACCTCATAACTCATGAATGTGAATAGTATGAATGTGTTATTCAAAGTACTCCCTAACGAGGGAAAATACTTCAGACTACATAAAGCTTATTTTATAGAACAAGTTGTATACTTCAACATATTTAAAGTTTTAAAGGGTTTGACCTTACTTTAGTTTTACTGCTGAGTTTGCCATTAGCCATAAGCTATTTTGAAAACTTAGGTGAGACATATCTGGTACACATACCTCCTGCACAGAAATTAATTGAATCCTTGGTATGTAACCAATCTGGGGCTGATGCAATTGCTAAACTTCCTTGTGATTGTAATGAGAATGAGAAACTGGTAAGACTTTAAATTAGGTACATGGGACAATATTTGAGTGTGGAGCTCCATTTCAAAATATTTGGCACTTAGTACTAAATGGAATGACAGAAAGCTTTATAATGGCAAGTGGTTTTTTTTCAAATATATGTGAACACATTTGTTTCCTTCTCTTTGCCTGATTTCATTGTTTAAAACTCTGCAAGCTGAGAACTTTTTTATAAAATTCAAATGCACCTATATTAATAAATATAGTGAAAACTGAAGAAAGGAAAGGAAAAAAGCACAATACATGGCAAAACAACTCTGAAACAAGTAGAGCAAAGCAGTCAACAAGTACTCAGCAGCACCAAAGAGAGAGTCTTTCAGAAAAGTGATGCTTAATATGGTTAAAAAAACCTTCCAGAAAACAAAGGTTACAAGTCCAGAAAAATACTCAGAAATCTTCAGTTCCTTTCAGGATAAGAAGAGAACTCCAATAAGTTAGTTTGCAGTGTTAGTTTAAAAAAAAAAAAAAAAAAAAAAAAAAGTGGCCTTACAGTGCAAATCTACAAATCAACTGCATTTAGACATTTAGAACCAGCAATGATGATTAAAGGTCACCTTATATTATGCCCTCATTCTCAGGTTGGAATATTTCTGGGTCTTAATTTGCATGGAAGCATTCACTAATGTTTATTAAGTTATAGAGTTGAAAACAATGTAGAAAACAACAGTGGAATACTTACATCTCTCTCCCATTGCCAGACATTTTGAATCCTCCAAAAGGACTTTGGGCATTTAAGGCATTGTAGCAATTTATCCTGTAACAGGAGGAGGCATTAAGTCCAACTGCACTGCCAGAAAGACCTTTGGATAACTCAGAGAGAGGCTGAAACTTGTGGAGCTAAGGGCACTCTATACCTCTTAGTTAATAACAAACTTGTTTCGTGTTGAAAAGAAATGAGGGATTTATGATACAAAAACAACAGGCTGCTTCTCACTCCTAAGGAGAATTGGATTTGACCTGTGAAGGCAGGAGGAAAACACCATATCCTTGGACACCTCTTCAGTAATGAACTGTTAATCTGCTGCCAAACCTCAGTGCCAATTTATAACAAAGCTGTTAGATTTTTCTCCCTAGTTTCTTGCAGATCTTTACTCAGATTTGACATACTAAATTGCAAGCTACTGAACTCTAGAGTTGGGATTCCCCATTCCTAAAGACTGGAGAGGAGGTGTCCCCTGAGTTCCTTAATGTTGTAGAAAGTAGGTAATCTTTTGTGCCTTTAGCAAACCCTGCCAGGTTCCCTGTGCTCCCCAGCAAGGATCGTTTATCCCGGCTGTTTTCAGTAAAGCTGCTCGGCAGTGGCTGCCGTGCTCCTGGGAAGCAAGGTGCTTCCCAGCCCCAGCAGCATTCCCCAGCAATGAGCAGCCACAGAACCTCCCCACTGCTGTTCCATGGCTTGCCCAGTGATCCATCCCTAGGATGGGCTGCATAAATATTCTTAACAAAGGGTGCAAAACTGAAGTGAAATTATGATAGTGAGTCAAACTCTTTTATCTTCAAGAGTGGGAGTGGGATAACTTCTGCTTACCAGACTGTCCCAGCCTGCATTGCTGAAGAGACTGTCAGAGCCTTGTTTATGTCATTTGTAAAGACAGCAGCTACCAGCCCAAAATCAGAGTTGTTGGCTCTCTCTATAACTTCATCCATGGTTTTAAATCTCAGTATTTCTTGAACAGGCCCAAAAATCTGCAAGAAAGATTAATAATTAATAAACTTCTCACCTCAGAGCATTTTATTCTTGTTTCATTCTGCTTTCTTAATTATCTTCTCTCTCCTATTATACTCTTTAAAATTTCCCACAGCAAAATTTAGTGATAAATAGTGATAATATCTGTCTGTAAAACTGCATGCATTTTTCAAAGCAGGTGCCTCAGGCGAACTTGTCCATTCTACACATATCTCCTCTTTGGTATCTGAGACTTTACAGTAAGTGACAAAAATTGAGCTTCCTTACCCAGCTGTTGTCACTTGCTGTGTGTATAAGGAGTTCTAAAAAGATTTTTTTTTTAATATGGTCATAATTTTCACTCTGAAGGTTTTGTCTTAGAAATTAAACAAAAGGGGAAAAAATGTAATATTTAGGATATTTTAAAAAGATCTTGCCCACACATGTGAATACCTCCTCCTTGGCAATCCGCATGTCATCTGTTACGTTGGAAAACACCGTAGGTTCAATGAAGAATCCCTTTCTCCCCAGCCCCTTTCCCCCACATTCAAGTTTTGCTCCTTCAGTAATGCCACTTTGAATCAGCTCCAAGATCTTGTTGTATTGTTTTTTATCAATCTGAAAGAGAGAAAAAGATGTTTGATGTGCAGACCATGTACTTGACAACCAAGTCCAAGTAGGTGCTTTTAGACAAGCCATGTTCCAGTGAGTTGGTTCCTGCTTCCATTCACTGCTCTTTGAGCTGCAGATGCCAAAATCTACAAGCAGGTGCTGACTGTGACCTCGGGCTTAGACTTCTTAAGATGTGTCACCTTGTGTTTGTGGCTTAACCCACACTCTTGATAAACAGTCTAGTTTACAAGCACAAAAAAAGCAGATCATTAGGTTTTGTCCCAGATTAACTTCCTAAAAATGTTATAAGCCCAGCTGTTTATTAGTGGCAGGAACATTTTCTAAAGACTTATTTCTGATTATGCCCATCTTCTGCTTTGAATTTCTGGATATCCAAGCACAGTTATGGTTGTAGACAGTTCTTGACAGTTAAGTCTCACAGAGACTTTTAAGAGCTTCTCACAGTTTACAGCTGTGTTTTGGGGGCTGAAGATCCAAATCTTGCTCTTAAAACTGGGAGGCAAACATTGATATTTAAACTGGTATTTTTTTATTTAACAAGAAACATCTCAGAGATGCACAGCTTATTTACTCCTTTAGAATTTTAATCTTGAAAGCATGTATCGTGGCAGCTACCCTGGACCTTGAGTGAGTGTTCACTGACTGATCTCTGCCTTAGTGGAGTTTAAATACTTCCAGGCACCTCCTGAGCTGTAGAGCCAATGCCCTACTCCTTTACCTGTGGACCTTGTTCTGTAGTTGGGTCAAAAGGACTCCCCACAACTCTCCTCTTTGCACGTTCTACACTTCTTCTAACAAACTCTTCGTAGATTGATTCCTCCACGTAAATCCGTGAGCCTGCAGTGCAGCATTGACCTTGATTGAAGAAGACTCCTTGGTGAGCTTGTTCCACAGCGTAGTCCACTGGAAAACAAGACAGCACATGTTGCACTGGAACACTGTGGGCAAATCTGCCTTTGCACCAGTGCTGTGTGTATTACACAGTGTCACATTCCTGAAACTTCAGTAGTAGCATTTAGTTAAATAAAACTAAATCAAGATACCCTGTAGTTGCATCAGGTCAGAAATGAGGATGATTCCCACTGGAAAAGCTAAGACAGTGCCTTAGAAGTCAATAGGAGTAAGGTATGCAAGAACAACTTCTCCAATGTCATATACCCAGCAACATGTCATTTACCAAGTAAAGCCCTTAAGGGAACCCCAGAAGCAGAATGTGCCCCACATAAATACATCTGACTGGGTCACTATAGAAGAAGAAAATTAGTCTGTGATCCCAGGTTGGCAATGGGCTGTTAATACTTCCTGTGTGAGAATTACAGCAAACCAAATACATGGGAGAATTTGGCTTTGATAATGGCAAGACCTGTCCTTCCCAAAAAGCCAGATTCTTTTTCTGCAACATAGAAATTTCTTCTTGGCCCATGCAAATGACTGGTAAGGCCTTAAAATTATAGGTCTGTAACAGAAAAATCAACCCTCGATTTCTACTCTAACTTCCTTGGAGGTACAACTAACACATTCTGTCCAAACAGGGCAGAGGATTTGGTCATATTTAG